GCCAAGGGCCTCACTGGGAAATATTCGTGAGATTGTGCAATGCATGGAAGGGCGAGAGCAGACCTTCATCGGGTGACAATCTTTCACGCTTTTGAATGACAAAAAAAGTGGGAGGCTGGGCGTGAACAACTGCAAACTCGACGCCAGTGAAGCGTCTGATATTTTTGAGCCAGTACGCTTGGCTAAAGGGTGACCACCCTACCTCAGCTCAGCAGCTTCATCGTTGATTGGAACACCGGTGTGCATTGTCTGCATACGCAGAACCTGGTTATTGCTTTGCTTGTCGTAGAACATAGACGTAGCAAAGTAATCAAAGACATTCTCAGGGGTCAGAGGACCATTAGCCTACTGAGATGATGAGAGACGCGGCAGGGCAGGGCAAGGCTAAGAAAGCCAACCTGAATCCACTCGTGCCAAATGAAGAAACGATGGGTGTAGTCATCTGGAGGATGCAGGTCGTTTATGTCCATTGATGATAGTTGAAGCCAAAGGAGTGGTACATATAGGGCTGACCACAATGCTGGTCTGGTTCGCACGGGAAGTCCTCCTTTCTTCACACCGCGTTTCTATCCGCTGTCCTGGTTTGACGCGCTTCAATATGACCTCCCTTGGGACCTAGTCCCTCCAGTTCCTTTCCCCTCAATGGTATGGCCCTGTCGCAATCTCAGCCATACTCCTCCAGAGCTGCCAGGTCTCTTCGTCTTGGCGCAGCAACTTTGCTGCATCACTTGAAACGCCATGTCGGCGTAGGCATTATCTGTTCCGTTGCTTATTTCGATCCGTATGTGTTCTGGACGCTTGGAATTTAAAGCCGTATACCATTTCATTTTCAGTGGCAACTGGAGCGTTGATCTCCAAGCCGGTTCAAGCTTTGGTTATAGACCAATGCTCTTTGTGATCCTCATGGCAGGACTTGGCGCCATAGTACTGCAGGTGACAGCATTACTTTTAGGTTCTTAACGAAGGAAATGTTAACCCTTTTCTGCTTGGCTTGCAGACACTGGCATATAAATTAGGCTGCGTAACAGGCCTTGGTAGCGTCTGACCTTTCTTCGTTTATCCTTTCCTAAGTCTCTATCTAGACCTGGCCACCCATTGCAGGCTCCTGTTCCACAACCATCCTCGTCATCCTCGTCTAGTTCGCCGACTGGTGCTATATCCTCTCTATATTCTGTCAGAGATTGCCATCATATCCACCGATCTCGCAGAGCTGCTAGGTTCAGCGATAGGCTTCTGTTTATTATTTCCAAAGCTCCCGCTCTGGGCTGGTGTCGTTCTTACAGCTGCCGATGTCCTCATATTCCTGGCTTTTAGCGACCCTTCACGCGGACAAGGGCGGCCGGTAAGGTTGTTCGAATACACCATCATCGCCCTGGTGAGCGTGAGCACTAAACTATATTAGGCAGCATCTCTTGACATCTTTTTAGGTCTTCTGTGTTTTCGGGTCCTTCGTCGCCCTTCTCATAAAAGCTAAACCGAATTGGTCTCAAGCCTTTCTGGGGTACCTTCCGGACAAAGCATTATTCCAGTCTGACCCTGATGCAGTTTACGCAGGTGTGTGCAGTCAATGCTTTGCATATTCGCCATCGTCTTATTTGTACTAGCCGTCGGGATATTAGGTGCAACGGTGATGCCCCATGCATTGTTTCTGGGTTCTTCCTTGGCCACTCAAGATCGTGTATCGGACGCCCAACCTCTAAGCGAGAATTACCTTCACCGGTAATGAGCCGTCAATCGATTAGAACAAAAGCCCGACAATTTATCTCTTCGTTATTCCGAATTGGACGCGCTGAAAGAGCCGCCTCAAGTGTAGATTACCGCAGCAAGCACGGTGAACGCGAAAATAGACCTTTGACTTTTATCAATCAACATTTGAGCCATGGAGTAGTGGACGTAGTGACTAGCCTGATCGCCCTTGCCGTCCCAATTAATTCTGCGTAAGTTCATTTTTTGACTGTCACCTAATTCTTGAAGTTGACGTCGTGATTAATTTACTAGAATCCTCATTTTGGCTGCTGCCGTTTTCTTCAACGGGGCCGGTCAAAATCGTAATACACCAGCAGGATTATTTGACGCCTACGACCTGATTAAGGCTCGGATTGGAGACGGTTAGCCATCAGTTTATGGTAGTGATTCCTCATACTGATCATCGATCTCTTTCGTCAGCTGCTGCAGTGATTTTTGCTCTCGCTTTGATATGTGCAGGGCAAACATCCAGTATCACAGTCACGTTGGCTGGACAAATTGTGTCCGAAGGGTTTATTGAGTGGAAAGTTTCGGTGCGTGTCGCTATCAGCCCCTCTACGATCGTTTTTATTCTAAGTACCATGACTGCCGGCCTTCTCTGCGCAGCCTTTTCTCAGGAGAATTATCACACGCTGCATAAGTCTTGTACCCTCGATGGTTGTATCCATCGCTGTGGGCCGTGACGGGATAAACACCTTGCTCGTTGCCTCCCAAGTCATACTATCGGTGGTCCTCCCATTCGTTGCTTTTCCGTTGATATACTTGACTTCGGCTGAGGTGGTCATGCGAGTGTGGAAACCGCAGGAAATCATTGAAGCCGAGGTAGCACCTATTCCGGAGTTGACGCAGGAACCGCATGAGAACCAGGTCGACCTGGATGCCGTAAAAGTTGAAGCTGAACATATGGAGATTTCAACTATCAAGGTTGCAGAACAAGATAAGGTTGACCGGATGGTGAGAAAGGAATACCTAGATTACAGCAACGGTCGTTTCACTGCCGCGCTCGCATACGTCATTTGGTGCATCGTCCTTGTGGCCAATGCGTATGCCATCGTGATGCTGTTCCTGCGATAGAAAAGAAAAACCTTGTACTATAGTGATTGATGTATGTATTTATGATGTTTGTTGTCATTCTGACTTGCAATGTTGGTTGTCAGGTCTTTGTGTTTCTGCAAGATTATCAACCCGAAGTTGACCCAAGGTTTGTCGACCTCACATTTCTTCAATTCGTCCATGTAAGTATGCAAATAGAAATTTTATTTTCAAATCAAAAAGTAAGACAGAGATAAGGCTTTCTGGGATTTATAGCAGAGTATTTTTTATGAACTGGATTTGTATCGAAAAGAATAACAAGGACTGAGACGAGAGCAGAGTAACAGTAATTCATAATTGGCAAAGATAACATTAGATCAAGAAAAGGGGAAAAAGAAGTCCATAAATCCAACAACGATCGTTGTAAATAGAGCGTGTAAAAAGGAGATAAAGAAAATCATATCGAGATCACGTTCGTCGCTGGGTCAAGGATAAAACTTGACGGTACGATACGTGACACATCGAATGCGCAGGACGGGACGGCCGACTTTTACATATAATGCAAGAAGTCATACATAAGATCACCGACGAGCGCGAAAAAAGGGTTGCAAGCAAGTGCCTATGGAAAAAAAGAGGTAAGCCCATATATAAACTTTTTCGATCAAAGGAAACTTACATAAAGAGAATGAAAGTGAAAGAGCAGCTTGGATCATTTACTTGACATCATGGCAGTCGCATTCGTTGGTGCGACCAACCCAGCCTTTGCCGCAGGAGTCACACCAGCCACGGTTGCCATTTTCGACACCAATAGCTTTCTTAGAGGCTGGGAGAAGAGAGGCGCCGACAGCCTCGTCCCGGTGGATACTGATGAGGTGACGACCCAGGTCGTGCTTCCTGCTGAAAGACCGACCACATGACCGCTGGGGACAGACATGGGGCTTCAGCCTGTTGGGGTCGTGGGTGGCCATATGAGTCTTGAGATTGTAAGCCCTTGCGAATGCTAAAAAAGGAAATAATAAGTGACTGTTGAGTGACAGACAAACAAAACAATTACCTCGAGGACAGGCAGAGCACTTGTACTTTTTGCGGGGATCACCCTCGTATTCCTCTACAGGTTGAGGAGTGACCGTCGCCACAGCCGGAAGCTGAGTGGAAATGTGAATGGGAGACACAGTGGGGAGGGAGGGACTGTAGCTGGAATGGGAATAATAGTCCGACGAAGTTGTGGAGCCGCGCCTCTGATGAGGGATATAGTCTGAATAGGTGGAGCGAGCTGTATAGGGCTTGCTGTCAAAGTGCTTAACGGGGGGCTCTGGGGAGGGGTCGGAGGGAGAGTGCCAAAAGAGGCAGGGTCATCCTCCATGACGGCCATGGAAGGGGGCACAGCATCATAGTCGGAACCGATGCGGGCCTGCTGGAAACTCATATCGAGGTCAAAGGGGAAGACCTGAGAGGTGCTGACTGGCTGAGAGTGGTCGTTGTAGACGGAGAGGGAGTAGGAGGAAAGAGAGTCCTGGGTGTCTGAGGAGACGGTAATGGAGGAGAGGGGGCCCTGCCACTGCGGCTTTTCAGAGGGCCTGAAGAAGTAGGGGTCGTATGAATCGACGGTGAGGAGCTGGAGATCGGGAAAAGCAGCCAAGTTGGAGTCGATATCAGACTCAAACAGGTCCGGATGAGGTGCGGCGACGTCCGAGGGGGAATGAAAAGAGAAAAAGTCGAAACTGCTCTGCTGTTTGGCGAACTCATTGCTGTTGTACGCCTCGAAGGCATGCGCGTAGGACTGTGCTTCAGACATTGCTGCGGTGGGAGTCAGAGAACGAAGTGGGTGGTTGTGGTTGGGAACAAACTTGCTTTAGCCTTGTCTTGCCAATATACACCTGCTGCGCACTTACGTAACACATCTCCATCTGTCACCCGGTCTCCGATCTCACACTCTTCTGTCTTTCATCAATCGACAGTACATGCTCTAGCCAACCTGTAGTCTACACCGTCGTTTCACCACCAACAACTGGTTCTTCTCTCCAATCGAAAGAAAATACATTCGTTTCATCCAGAGGTCTCTTCGATCTCTATCAACTCCGCAGCTTGGGCGCCCAACTCTGACAAATCACCATGACTCGCAGCACTGCCTCCTTTGCGTCCGCATGGAGACGCGTAGCAACTGCCGATAGCGTATACCGCCGGTACCTCCTCGTGGAGGCCAATGTCAAGCACAAGTCATCGCCCGCCTAGCTCAATCGGATAGAGCGTCAGACTCTTAGGCGGGCTACACGTCCTTACTACGTGCATCTGAAGGCTGCGAGTTCGACCCTCGCGGTGGGCTACTTTATTTCTTTTTGTCATTGCCAATCTTACCGAAACTTCGCGTTGTATAATTTTATCGGCAAAATATAACGGGTGCGCCAATCCCCGACTCTGCTTTTCAACGTCAAATCAAAAGCGGCTGCACTTCCAAAAGTAGAGTGTGCTGCTTGTATATATATAGTTTTGTGGTTGGCATGTCACATTTTTGAAGACTTAAATAACGCCTTTCCATTCATTTTTGTTCTTGTCCTCTTGGCACTTTCATATTCAAAATTTCGTTAAAAGTTGACGAAAAGTAATTAGCAATTAACATACTACCTCTAGCTTCCAAGAAAAATTAATTGCTGGATGCATCATTTAATATTATAAGTATGCCAGTTATGTACCTACCTGCCAATTTGCTTTCGATCACAACAGAATCTGGTTTTTGAAAAAAATCTTTTCAAGACCGACTGTATCTTAGAAAGCTAGTCATGCAGTCACTGAATTGGTAAAATAACAGGCTATGGTGATTATTACCAGTTTGTGATACAATTTAATGAGTCGGGCAGTAATTCATCACACTACTAACTTCCGCTTCTAATTCCTATCCCTTTGGAATGAAATTTGGCAGGAAGAGTGGACGTTTGGGAGCTACAGACCTCCCTGTCATTCAGACCTGAGAGTCGGGGAATATACGGTTTAATGGATACAAAACAAAAAAGAACAGAATTGGACACATGCACAAGTTGCACATTATAGACAACCCTTAGCCCTTATAAAGCTCTTGAGGGAAGGAATAAAACTACGGGCTTCCGAGTCAGAATCGTCATCAGAAAGTCCCGCTGAACCTGTGGAATGAGCACGATTCCACAATAAATTAGAGCAGCCCATAAGCTCAATGAGCCTCCATCTCAACTGATTCCCAAAATACTCATTCATCGAACCCACGATGTGCCCTGGAAGCCATGGGGGTAGGGTACACACTGCAACAGAATTGTGAGAACCTCCTACAAGGAATGGCGCATCAAGGTCTTTCGTCAAGAGGTGAAGGAGATGTCGACACGCCGGGCAGCAACGTTTTGACACTCCAATAACTCGTCCAAATTCCTGTCATCATAAGGAGTGAGGATCTCAGTGTAGTATGCCCGAAAAGCTTTGCGAAACATTCAAATTTACAAAGAACCTGGCACTGTCACACAATAACTTGATTGTGTTGCTGATGCCAGACCTGTGTTTCGTCGGATCGCCAATCATGTTGAGTAGACCTTTTCCACATTCTCCCCAGTAAGGCAAAGTCGACTGCTGTAATTGTTTTATGCTCTCGATAGTTTTTTCACTATCATGGTCCTGTCACTCCTTCCTGGCTGTGCTGGCAGCCTTGATCCATTTCGAAAATTCTTGGTGACTAGATGACAGTTCGCCAATTTCAAGAAATTCGAGTATCTCGTCGTTAGTCTTGGTCTCGCTGGTCCAAGCAGAAAAAAGTCACGCTCAGTGTTTCTGGGAAAGAGATCTGAATCCGCGATGAGTTCTCTCCATAGGAGTAAAGTTTTGTCCACGGGTGTGACAACTAAATTTTTGACGGAGATGGTCTGACCTTGGAAGTGGTCTGCTGATGTACCCGTCGAGAGTATCTACCGCACTGAAATGAACTAGCAGAAGCTCCAACCAGTCCCTGTAAGACTTCCACAGAGGTATTTGCACACCATCCTCCGCAATGACAGAAGGTTGAACTGCCTCGAGGTTTTCATCGCGTTCGTGCCCTTTGTCTTGCTCTTGCACACCTGGCACTGGCATTGAAATATCAGCACGATGGTGGTCATTAAGCAAGGGTTCAATGGTTTTCAGGTGCATATGGAGGGCAGAGCCTCTAGCAATTCTATGAAGCACGGCGTCGGCCAAATAATCTTTGAACTTCTCGGAACCCATAGTAGGAACTTTTTCACTGCTCCGGGAGTCAAACAGGGCCTGCAAATATCTATGGAAGCTGTACAGAAGCCGAAGCAATACATCATGAAACTCCTTGCATGTGCTTCTGGTGTAGAGCTGGAAGGCATTGTTTTCAGTGGCCAACTTGGCTTGCTGGACCAAGTTTGGAATCGGGATGCCAACTTTTTGGGTCAACACGAAGTCGATTAGGAATCGTCGATCATTTTCAATCTCTGCCTTTTATGACTGTCCCTGCTGGGACTCTTCGAATGGAATGTCTGTCACTGACCTCAGATATTCGATATAGGGCTGTGAGAGAGTCGAATGATCCAACCGATGAAGGATTTTCGGATAGCATGTGGCGACGACATAACACAGAAGGCGCCCCAAAAGATTAGTGTGATCTTTCGTGACAGCTGAGAACCCATAGATGTGTGGCCAGCATCGTGTTGCTCTTATTATGTAGGGCATGAGCATGTGCTACGATTAGGCTGTTACACTGCATTTACCAACGTTCCTCGAGATATCGATCCAACTCCTCATCGTCATCAGATTTGAGGCCAGGCGGGATCGTTGCATCTACGATGGAGGGGTCTTGAATTGGGATGGCTGTAGTAATAAGTTGGTCCTCGCCATTAGGGAGATATGTGCAAGCAACAATCTCAAGTTTACCAAGGCCACGCTTTGTTACAACTGTAATAACATCGCGTTCAATGACGGCCAGGGTAGAAACAGCATTGGATATCTTGACTTCTCGGTGGTCAGCACCTGTAACTTTGAACGGCTGTTCCAGTTGGATCTTGCGGTGATAGTACGAAAAGCAAGGATGTTTCTGGGTACTTCATTGGGCAGGGAATTGTGCCTCCGAAAAGCGTCTCCCAAGATCATCTTTCAGACTACAGTCCCTATCATCATATCATGATACTCTTGCTTTGAAAGCCTCAAGGTATCAATCAACTTCGAAGATTGCGATGCATGGTCAGTGTATATTCCATGTTGGTCAGTGTACATTTCCTGTTCGTTGACGGCCAGGTGGAGTGCAATCCTGTCCGAGCCGAGGCAGCAGCTAGAATCACTACCTTGACAATTGGTTCACCCCCCGAAAGCGCCTGCACCCCATATAGGCAATGCAATTTCCTTGATGCCATGCCCAGCGAGGGCCATGAATCCTGTGTACCTTTATGGAGATCACAGAAAAAATATTTCGGATAGAGATCTGCATATTGGGACATGGGTATGGATCATTATAGCAACATCTTCAGGCGCTGGCGGAGAGACGAATAAGGCACCCATTGGCAAGAGGGACGGGCAAACAGCGGTTACAAGCTCTTCCTGTGTATAGGATGGTCCAAATCCAGGAGAAGAATTTGACGCCACTAAAGTGCATTTCACACTTTCATAGGGAAAAGGGACGGCGGCAGATGAAACCGGTCCAATACTGAAACTGCTACCGAAGATATCAGCTTTGAGGTCAGTGGTCCAGTCCAACATGGTTTGACGGACACCAACCGAAGGTAGCGAATAGAAAATATAGGTGGTCTCTAACATTGTATCCACAGGTATGGTAAACAAGTTGAACAAGGAAGCGAGGTATCCAGAGACTGCACCCTCGAGTGCGTGAGGGTCGGAATACCAGGATATGAAACTGCAACCCCAATTATTCCCCTTGGGAGGTTTGAGCATATTAAGAATTTGATGGGCCAATAAGCATTTAACTTGAGATGAGAAAGTCGAAGAACTGAATTCTGTTCACTGAGATATGGTATCTTGTAACTTTCAAAAAGACTGGGAAGGAGAAGTGCACTGTCGAGTATGTTGTTTAAAAGTGATAAGCCATTTGGATAGTAGGTCTGGGTATCTATCTAAAATAAATTGAGATAGAAACTTGGTATTTAAGTGGCCGTCCATGTGTATTGAGTAAGAAAGATATTCAACTAGTTGAGGCAAGGCATGTAGACTGGCAGACGGTGAAAATGCGGTCGCGAAAAGACTGGATAGAAGTAGTGATGACAGTCCAAACAGAAGGATCGTCCTCGGTACAGACCCCCAAAGGATCAAGAGAAGTGAGGGATGGATCCGAGGGAAAATTGTTGGACATGTTAGAATAATAGAGCAGTCCAGGGTGACTCTAAGTGACAAACTGAGTGACAGCTCAACGCGACAACGCCTGCCCTAAAGCTCGTTATGGCCATCCGCTAATTTCTTCATTAGCTCTCACCAACGCTTTAGTCCTTGGATACCCCGTCTTCACTCTCAAATGTCTGGCTTCGACACAAACCGCGTATATTCAGTTTCGGTGCACGACCTCCCAACTGCTGCAGCGCCCGATTCACCTTCGGAGACGGAGAAACTCCTTGTCGACTTCATCCTTGCGTTTCGACTTGGAGGAGAGTTCATCTATCGGTACGTCGTCTATCCTTACACTTGTTCTGGGATCTGAAGATGGACTCTGTGTAGTGATAAATTACGCGCGAACATTCTTCTGAAGCAACATATTCTCGAGGTCGACTTGCGGCACGTCAGTCTCTTTAACGACGAGTTGGCACACGCGATTCAAGACCGACCAGGCGATATTTTGCCCCTGGTACGTCCTCCAGCAGATGGTCGATTCCCGGCCTCTCATTCTTTTTTCGAAATAGTTCGAAAATGCTGCCACCAAAGTCGCTCGCAACATCCTATTCCCATTAGCAGCAAACTCAGAAGATCGGATAGAAGCAGCCGCAGAAGCCATCCCTAAAGTTCAAGTGACTATCAAGTCCGGCCTAAACCTTCTCCAAGTCCGAGAACTCGCTGCTAATACCATGAATAAGCTAGTCCGCCTACCCGGAATTGTCATTTCCGCATCCGTTCTCTCATCTCGAGCGACAAAGCTCCATCTACAATGTCGCGCGTGTCGTTCCACGAAGATTATATACCCTCAAGCGGGACTAGGAGGTATGGGAGGTGGTTCGGATAAGGGCTTGCCCCGTGTCTGCGATGCTCCCGAACCAGAGGGTCAGAAGAAAGACTGTCCTCTCGACCCCTACTTGATCATTCATGCAAAATCTGCATTCGCTGATCAACAGGTCCTGAAACTTCAAGAAGCGCCTGATATGGTTCCGGTTGGAGACTTGCCTCGCCACATGCTTCTCAGCGTGGACCGTCATCTGACTGGCAAGGTTGTTCCAGGCTCGAGGGTAATCGCCTCGGGTATCTATTCGCAATTCCAGCCTTCTAAGAATGTAAGCATTTTTCCTCCTATACTTAATATTTTAATTCCTAAACTTCACGCCAGAAAAATGGACCTGCAGCTTTGCGGCAATCCTACCTCCGCGTAGTCCACTTGGAATTGATGACCCCTGCCGGAGCTGGAGGGGCAAATCCTTTTGGCGCTCAATTTACGCCTCAGCAGGAAGAGGAATTCCAAGAAATGGCCAGAAGTGACAGTTTTTATGAACGCTTTTCCAGCAGTATCGCGCCAAGTATCTTCGGGAGTGTTGGTAAGCCTTACCACTTTAAATTATTGTTCTTACGGACTGACCTTGCGATATAGACATTAAAAAGGCCATTGCCTGCTTGCTCTTTGGTGGATCAAAGAAGGTTCTTCCAGACGGCTTGCGACTTCGTGGGGATATCAATGTATTACTGCTTGGTGATCCCGGTACTGCGAAAAGTCAGCTGCTCAAATTCGTTGAAAAGGCAAGTAAGCGTTCTTTGGCTGGTCAAACGAGGACTCATTGTCGCGGCAGGTCGCACCAATAGCCGTATACACGTCAGGGAAGGGTTCAAGTGCTGCTGGTCTCACAGCATCAGTGCAACGAGATCCCGTTTCTGTAGGTCTTTTGTACATTACGCGTCTATTTGACCACTAATTTCTATCAGCGTGAATTTTACCTCGAAGGTGGCGCGATGGTTCTTGCTGACACAGGAGTGGTTTGTATCGACGAATTCGATAAAATGAGAGACGAAGACAGAGTAGCTATTCACGAGGCCATGGAACAACAAACCATTTCAATAGCCAAAGCTGGAATTACGACCGTTTTAAACTCCCGGACCAGTGTTCTTGCAGCAGCTAATCCTGTATTCGGAAGATATGACGAAGGTCGGAGTCCTGGCGAGGTTCGCATTTTTTTTTGTTACTTTTTATATGAACGGCCCTTGACATCGTACCGCAGAACATTGATTTCCAAACGACTATCTTGTCTCGATTTGATATGATTTTCATTGTGAGGGATGAACATAACGAAGCTCGGGATAAAGTGAATACTTACTTCTACCTTACCTATGTCTTGATATTGAACTCATTTGCTAATATAGACGATTGCTAAACACGTTTTGAACATTCACATGAACCGACCAAACCCGAACGCTGACGATGCTGCTGGTGAAATTAGCCTAGACAAGATGAAGGCGTACATTGCTTATGCTAAAAGGTAGGAAGGAAAATACTCCTTGAGATGTCTTTATTTAGGAAAATTTGCAGCAAATGCGCCCCACGTCTGTCAGCTGAAGCACAGGAGATGCTAAGTAGTCATTTCGTCAGCTTACGGAAACAAGTGCAGCAAGTCGAGCAAGATAACGACGAACGAAGCTCCATTCCAATTACAATCCGGTTAGTCACTTTGCCCTGATATTTGCGTTCCACTGATTAGCAAAATATTTATCAGTCAATTGGAAGCTATTATTCGCATTTCCGAATCTCTAGCAAAGATGACACTGACTCCCGTTGTCAAAAATCACCACGTCGAAGAGGCCATCCGACTTTTCAAATTCTCCACTATGGATGCTGTATCCGCCGGGTCCGCCGATGGTTTATCCAGAGGCGAACTTAACGGAGAGATGACCAAAATAGAGCGCGAGCTCCGCAGGCGGCTTCCCGTCGGATGGAGTACGAGTTATCAGAGTCTTGTTCGCGAGTTCGTAACACAGCAAGGTTACTCAAGCCATGCTCTTGAGAGAACGTTATTTATTCTGGAGAAGCGGGAAGTTATTCGGTTTTCTAGCCAGGTAAATAGTATCCGTCACATATTGACATTCTGTTTGCTGACTCGTACCTCACAGAAAAAAACTGTTCACAGGTAAATCCTCATTGGTCGGTTCACCTTGCGATCCCACTGACTTTTTTCCAGGGTTGGAGTCTGAGGGTGTTTTTAGAACTGTACATGCTCTGTTGTTTCATGCTTTCACTTTGTACTTTATACCATATTCAATGTATTAACAGGTGGCCTTTCAATTTTGCTTTAGTGAAGACACAGTCAGCCTAAGCTTTGTGCATTTAATGTCCTCATATCGCTGTCACATCGACATCCGATACGTATACCTTTTCATGTCGCCCGCCTAGCTCAATCGGATAGAGCGTCAGACTTTTAAGAAGTCCGGGTGACTGGGTTCTGCTGAATCTGAAGGCTGCGAGTTCGACCCTCGCGGTGGGCTACTTAGGATATTTTTTCTTATTTCTCTTGATGCAAAATATCAAGGTCATTGATGTTGTGGACCGAATTCGTCGATAAAATATTTATGGTTGTGTGTGAATTCTTTAACCTCCGTATCATTGTTCTCTAGCTAAAAGTCGTTGATCAAAAAACGCACTTGTGAAATGTTTCGAGTCGAGATACAGATTCCCCCTAGCCGACTTGAACGACTGACCTCGTCATTTCGCATTAATCAGGAATACTAGTGACGCGCTCTACCACTGAGCTAAGGGGGATACGTATTTCCAGGTTTGGGGAGACTGATGAGGCCGAAATTGTTGAATACACATTATATTTACGCGTTTCTCTTCTGACTCTTACCTGTTCTTCAAGCTTCATCATTAATCATGAGTGCGATGGATACAGACGAAGTCTCCGTAGTTCTTCCATCAACAGCAACATCTGGCTTGTCCCTTTCACTGTAAGAAAGGTCACCTTCAACCATCTAAGCTTCTTGTGTTTAGTCTCTAGATCAGTCATCCTCTGCCGATCTTGAACATATCAGAACACTGGACGAGATTGAGACTTCAAAGAAACTCTCGCGATCCCTTTGGTACGTCCATTCGACATCAAGTCGCACCACCTCTTGGTTGATGTCTTATAGTACTGGGTGCTCTTCTTGGTACTCAAAACGGGCGCGAAGTTGAGATCGTGAACACCTTTGAACTTGCAGTGGTTGGTGACGACAATACAGCGGTAGACCATGAGTTCTTGGTCTCCCGACGTGATCAATGTACGTGCCTGTCTGGCACTTTTGGACTGTACTGCCAATGGCTCAACTTCATCTCCCAGACAAACAGGTATTCCCATCTCTCGAATTTATTGGGTGGTACACAGTTGCAGCCAAGCCAAGTGCGCGACACATTGCTTTACATGAACAAGTATGCCTTCAAGTTTTGTGTTTGATACATCTCATTTCATTTACATTCAACTAGTTCACGGGATATTGCTCGACTCCGCTTTTGCTGATTCTGCAGCCCAACCTTGCTCTGGTGCACAGCACTGGTATCAATGCTCAAACCCTTCCGTTGAAAGCGTACGAATCAACTATTGAACTTCGAGAGCGCAAATCCCGTTCCGTATTCCTTGAAGTGCCTTACAACGTCGAAACCGGAGAAGCCGAGCGTATCGCTGTGGACTGGACAGCAAGAGGGGGAGGAAGTGGGACAAGCTGTAGGCCACATTTTTTACTTCCGTGACACTAGTTGTTAAATCCTTTCTAGTGGAGTCTCATTTACAAACTCAGCGATCTGCAGTGAAGATGTTACATGAGCGTATCCTCGTTCTAATCAAGTACGTGACGGACGTAATTGCAGGTGAGACAGTCAAAGTGTTCCTATATTATTTGGCAGGGGTTTATGTCTTCACCTCAGGTCAAACACGGCCAGATCATGCAACATTGCGCTCGCTATCCGCGCTTCTTGCATCCCTTCCTGCGTCAGAGAACAAACATTTCAGAGAGGAATTTGATACTGTAGGCTCCTTTCATAGTGAAAGAAATGCACTTAATGTTCTTTTTTCTCCAGGAATATGAGGACGTCCAGTTGACAGCCTTCCTTGCAACTCTCACAAAATCTACGAACATCTTGAATGACGTGAGCTCTCCAGGTCTTGCATTTCCGACGTGATTTCATCTGTCATTTTCAGCTTGTTGACAAGCATATTGTCATGACCTCCGGGAAAGATGATAGAGGAGGAGCACGGAGAAGGGTGGGAAGGCAAGGTGGTCCAAGCGATTGGGATCGCTTCCACTGATTTTCTTTTTCCTGTTCAACATACTTCTGGTTTTCTTTTGTTTTCGAATTGCAATCACTTTTTCACTGCCCTAGAAGCTCGGGTTATGAAAGCTGATCCCCCCACTGTAAAATAGTTACTTCTGTATGTACTGCACTGGCACTGGAAATTCCGAAAGCTGCGAGCCTGCTTCCTTCTGTTAGTTATGTGACCATGGAAAGCTGAATCAATGGCAGATGCCATACTTGAAAGGCTTAACAATGAGCTGTCAATAACAACAATTCCAGGACTACTACATGCTACAATCATTCGGTCAGAGCTATTAGTACATAGCATAGTGAAGATAAACCAACCCTGGGTTGGTAATGCTCCTACTAGAGAATATAGGATACAGCGGGGATATAAGATATAAGATGAGCAGTGACTGCAATGAATATTCAGATTGGATAGATCAATCCACCATTTGTCGGTTAGTCGTGTATTGTGAGCGGAAGACGCAAGTGAATGAATCATTTGTCGGTGTCGTGATCTATCTTCGAGTCAGCGGCTTGCTTGCCTTTCAGGGTTCATTGCGCGCAATCGAAGAAAGGGAACGACTCGATCCTCGAGACAAGAGGCTTTTGCTGGCACTTGATAACATGCCATTTATCCTTCCTTTATCCTTTTCCTTGTGATGCGAACCATCCAACCTATCTCCTGAAGGTCGGCCCACACTGTGCTTGATCTTATTCCAAACCTTGGAAGCCCCTGGAGATATGGATGGCCTGAAATTCGAGGAGCGTTGTACAGGTGACGACTCTGATACAATGGTCTTCAAGTCGACGAGTGTACGATGCGGACCGTACTCCTCTATCGAAGACAAAGACAGAGGTGCACTAGAATCAGAGATAAGAATAGAATGGGCTCCCGGCGGCTTGTAAGCAATGCCCGGAGAACTTGTATATGACGACGGCGCAGAAGTGGCTGGTTGAGATGACATTTGGCTGGCCGCCACGTCGGAGCTCAACACACTGGATACGGAGGTGCTTGGAGACGAAGATGGTACAATATCGGGGTCGAACTCATTTTCATCAGTAATGGGCACTTCCATTTCGTCTTCTAGTTCGCCTCTTCTGTTATGCGGGTTGGGCTTGATTCGGTCAACATCTTCAATCTCGAAAAATTCCGATGACTTGGATTTATTTTCCGCCGAGACAAGCTCCTCCAGGACTCGCCTTCTGTAAACGCTCGTAGTAGGAGAGTTGACGGTTGTCGCAAAATCCCATGAGTCGATTGAATTAGTTGACTTGACAGGTGGGACCGCACGTCGTTCCTGTCGCTGAGTCAATGGAGGAAGATCTTCTGCAAACCAAAATGGGTCAAACTTCTGGGATACCTAGAAGGACACTCTTACTCAAAATAGTATTAATGAGGTAGGATTTCTTCTTGGCCGCCTTAAAGAACGGGGTCTGAAGGAGTTCCGCCGCCGTTGGTCTGATAATATCATGAGAATAGCTTAATGGCTAAAATTAAAAAGGAACCGACCTCTTGGTAGGATCCTTTACGAGACAACTATCCACGACCTCTTTAAAAGCACGAGAATACTTAAATACACCTTCGCGATTCAGGGTCGGAGGGTCCTCCTGAATTCTGAGCTGATAGTTAGAAAAGGACAGGCAGATCAAACAGAGACGACAGTACGTCCTGAGCAACACTCGCTGCGGCGATTCTCTTGATCTCGGGGGGCGGCCTTGCGTTAATTCCAGTGCGGTGATGCCGAAACTCCAGATATCGGAGGAAGAGTCGTATTGTTTACCCTGAATGAGTTCAGGAGACATCCAACAAGGCTAGACGATGTTACATACATGTCAGGCTTTTTAACGTGGTCTAAATCTATATACGCACTGTGCCAACGAATGATTTTCGTTTTCCAATGGTTGGTCTTGGAACTACAGGTGACGCGCCATCACGGCCTGCACCATTCTTTCCCTTGCTTTGATCACTGATTGTGGACGTTTTAGGCTCGACGAGGGCAGCCGCCGCCGAGATGGAATGTGGCCTCGGAGAACTGCTATTATGGGATGTATCTTCAGCAAGATTAGCTGACACCCCAAGGTCTCCTAGAAGGACTGTTCCGTCGTCGTCAATTAGTAGGTTGGCCGCTTTCACGTCACGATGAATGAATCCGTTAACATGGAGGTAGCTAAATAGACAAAAATTAGAATTACTGAAGACTAGGGCAGCATATTGGGACAAACTTTAATCCTTGGAGTGCCTGCCTCAGAATACATCGAACCACATCTTCCTCCATGCCGCCTGGCCAGCCATAGCGCATGATATCGGCAGCACTTCCCTTGTTCATGAGACGGAGAGCAATATATAGCTTATGCCCATCCATCCAGGACCCTCGTACACGTAGCACATTGGGGTGCTTAGAAAGCGACATGAGTGTTGTCTCTCGTTGTAATAATTGCAGAGATCGTGGTGGAAGAGAATCCAGGTCTAGGACTTTGAGGGCACATGGGATACTCTTTGATGACTTCTTCGCTGTTCCAGAAGTGGAATCCGGAGAGCTGGGGTTGTACTTTGCAGCGTAGACTATGGACGAAGCGCCAAATCCTATGGGTTCACCAATGGTGTAGTCATCAGCATTGTCACTAATTGAAGGGCAATTAGGATGAGGTAAGATCATAGGCAAGATGAATAGACAAACCTATAAAGCTGCCACTCGTCCTCAACAGCTCCAATAAAACTTTTGAACATGCTATCTTGAGCGCCAGCTGCAAGAGGAGTGCTTTGCCCAGCCGAGTGCGTAAGAGTGGACATCCTCGGAGTGCTGGTGTCTGATACGTGTGACAAACGCCGCGATAAGCTTACTGAATGAAAGTATTGGGATGTCGTAACGTATATGGATGAAGTGCCGTTCTACTGTCAATATGGTCGCTCAGGCCTTCTGAATCCGGAGGGTATCAACCGAAAATATATCAATGGGGATTGCCAAAATTGATAAATTTGCTGCCGGTCACTAGAGGGTTACGCCAGCGCCACGGTAAGACAAGTGGATGGCGCACGTTTAGTCGAGAGAAGAACACACCTAGGCACAGCGTGGATAAATTGAGGGGGGAAGTCCAGCTTCGCGGGAAATGTGGCGGCACAGCAGGGGTAGGGGGCGTTGAGTGTGGGTTTGGTCGTGGACTGGTAAAGTGTTTGAGACCGTCTCTGCTGGGGCCATTCAATTGCGCAGCCTCGCAGGCTCAAGGTATGTAAGGTATGTATGCACAAAAAACTTGGCCTAATCCGGATCACATCACTGCCCGCTTTGTCTTCCTCCGTCGTCTTGGAAGGTGGAATACCTTGGAATATCTCTCCCTTGTCGCATGATTTATGATCAATCAGTTTTTATATCCGTTTGCGCCGGTCACTCCGACTTTATCCAACAAAGTCGTCTTCGATTGTCTTTGAGGCTTCGGAATAAGAATAACTTGTCGACTAGGGTACGATAATGGAGGGCAGGTGTTGAGTG